ATGTATGTATGTATGTATGCATGTAGGTATACATGTATGTATGTATGTATGTATGTATGTATGTATGTATGTATGTATGTATGTATGTATGCATCATGTATGTATGTATATGTATGTATCTATGTATGTGTGTATGTATGTATGCATGTATGTATGTACTTGTGTGTGTGTGTATGTGTGTATGTGTGTGTATGTATGTACATGTGTATGTGTATATATATATATATATATGTATAGAAAATTGGTGCTGGATGATTTGGTGTCATCATATGAATTAATCAATAAATCGATATAAAGCGAGCGATATCGCTCGTTTCAATGATGCTCCGCCCCTAGACATATAATACATTATGTAAATTTGCAACTGGGAGGAAACTGAAAAGGTATAAAAGCGCTTTGCAACGAGTAAAGATTCAAGTATTAGTGGCAGTAGTAGTGGTAGTAACATTTAGTAATAAGTAAGGCATATGTTGTAGGATAGTTGTGGGCATCATAATGATATGTTATTGCTTGTTGTTGATGTTATTATCTTTTATCGTTAGTATCCTTCAATCATTATCGTCATCATTGTTGTTTGTTTAGTTAGTAGTGAATGATTGAAAATTACCACTCGCTCACTCACTCACTCGCTCGCTCGCTCGCTCGCTCGCATAACTACGCGCTCTTTTGCTCGTTTGTTTACTCACTGAAACGAGCGAGTATACGTATATTTCTTCATCCATTCCTATCTATCCATCCTCCCTTTTCTGCTTTAAATTTTCAAATTAAACATTAAACAACTTTTTCTTTTCATCGTATTTTCCTCCTCTTCTCTTTTTGCAGTAATCAATAGATCTATCTGTTTACATTCTCTTCATCTATTATACTCCTCCCCGCCTCATTGGCTTCATCCATTTATTATTATTATCATCAATCCTTGTATTTTCTCTCATCTTATCTTTTGTTGGAAAAATTGTGTAACAGTATAAGCAATTTATCATCATTTTGTACTATTCAAGTATGGTTTAAGCAATGATTTTTATGTTTATTAGAAATTGAATGATACAATCATTAACAATAATTGGTCACAACCTTCGTTTGACCAATGACCACTCTGATTTTTTTTATTTGTAGCGGGTTGAAAAATAATAAATTCGGTTAATTTTAAAAATATGCTTTAATCAAAATTGTTATTCTATTAGTTAGAGTAATATTATCATTAAAAAAAGAAAAGAAAAAGGAAGGAAGATAATTTTTAATAGCTGTAAAGTATCGATTAATGATTATTAATATACAACAATAATTATTCAACTAAAATGATATATCGGATATAAATTAAATTTTAAATCATTAAATAAAAGATATAAATTTTATCAAATTATTTATTCCTCCATTAAATTTCATTTATTAATTGCATATATTCATCTGTTCAATGATATAAGTTAAGAAAGAAAATGGAATGAACAAGAGAATCGTTATTCACATTTTTCAAATATTGATTAATTTCAAGTTACACGTATGTCTGCGTATATTTATTGACATGTAATTATATAAAACTTTACGTGTATACTAATTAAAATCAATATTTTGTTGAAAATAAGATAGTGAAAAAGAAAAGAAAATGAAATTCATTTTTTTTTTCTAGCAATATATTTGAATTACGCGTACGTAAAAAGAAAAATGGCATTAAAACGAGCTACAGGTAGCGTGAAACCATCATCACCCAGAAAGCCACGTGTACGTAAAAGTGCTGTAAGTTTATGTATATTCAATAATTAATAATTAACAATTAATTGTTTGAATTTAAAAATGTCGCATAAATGAATTTTACAGCCAAGTGGTGCCAAGAAAACAACAACTAAACGGAAGAAGAGTGCTAAGAAAAGTGGCGCAAAAAGAACAAAGAAACAAATGAAGAAATGAAAACAAATTATTGAAAATTTGTTAGAAGGAGAAGCCCATTTTTTTTTTTTTTTCCGGTACTACTAAATGCTACACATTTTTCACTTCATTTTTAAAAATTTACAAAAATTCAATTTTTTTTTTCACTCTTCCCATTTCCCCATGATAAATAAATCTATTCATTTATCCATTTTTAATTTTTTTTTTTTTTCTATTTGATTGCTCTCTAGAAGTTGTAATTATAATACCTTATTTCAGTCTCTCTTTTTTTTCTTTCTCTTCCTTTCTCTCTCTCTCTCTCTCTTTTGAAAAGGAAAAAAAGAAAAGGTTCATCTTGTGGTTTAATTGAAATGTTCAATATTTCTTAACACTTTCTCTTTTTCTTATCACTTCTCGTACTGATTTACTTTGTTTTACTCCTTATCATTCAAATTAACGAATTAACAAGAAAAGAAAAATATAAATTTCAAAAAAGTTTGATTTTTTTTTTTTGAAAACATTGAAATGTCAATAATTCGGAATTTTTAAAATCATAAAATGTTGCAGGAAAATTGGGAAACATTGGTTTGGTTTTTGTTTCTTTTGGTTAAAAGAGTTTCAATTTACATGAAAGGTAGCAAAAATTTGATTTAAATTTCCGTTTGAAATTATTCATTAATTGTAACGAATTAATGAAATTGAAAAATACTCAAATAAATAAAAAAACAATCATTTCACCTTTTATTACCAATATTGAATTGAATTAAAATTGTTAAATAGTTTTAAATTGAACATGAAAATAGGAAGGGCCTTTTTTTCCAATAATGCTTTCTCTTATTACCCTTTTTTTTCTTCCCATACTTTAAAAAATGTTAATTTTCATTTCATGTATAATATTGATGATATTGATTGAATACATTAAATGCATACATACATATTTGAGTGCTTGAATCTTATTTGTGATCTCTTCCATAAAGAGATTTTCATTTTTTCTTTTTTTAAATTGAAAAATTTAAAATTTGAATTTTCCTTTTTTTTTCACTGTATTTTGGTTGAAATGTAAGCATCTTTATTTAATGTTTCAGAAATTGTAATTTTTGTATGAAAAGTATTTCTATTTTCGTCATTTAACACAGCAACCATTTTGCTAATAAAGTAAAAAAATCCAGTTATAACATGGGAAAGAGTTCGAAGATTTTTAATTATTAATTAAAAAAAAAGAAAGGAAATTAGTAAAATGAAAAAAGAAAGTTATTAATAAAATGAAAAGACTGCAATGAAATGAAAAGAATTATGATTAGAAAGGAAATGAATAATTTTACTGATTATTTATCATTAAATGTTTACAAATGGTTAATTATTCGATAATAATCATTTCTTATTTTCCGGAAATAATTAAATATTCAGAAATATGTTATGAAGAGGAAATCGATAAGAAATTTGGATGGAATTTAACAGCAAATAATGCCACGATATTCGTCAAACAAAACATTACAAATGAGGGCATATAATTGTCAACTGCTCCGATACATATGTTGTGATAGTTGATAAGAATAACATTGCAATATGACATGTCAGTTTCTTTGGAAGTTCTCGATAAAATACCGACGAGAAAAGTATGATGAGAAATTGTAAAATTATCCTCAAATGCTTTATTGCACAAATTATTGTTTTATAAAAATATTTGTTATAAATGAATTATGTTTGATGCAAGGGGTCAATGAAGCTTTGAAAAACAAAAGAGGAAGTCGTGACCTTTTGGCCATTGCTGTTCAGTCGAACAGCTACAAAGCATGACCTTTTCACACAGTTCAATGAGTAATTCGATAACAAGAAAAAAAAACGATTTGTAATGGACAGGTTGCTATGTCGAATAGCAGTTTTTTTTTTGATCTGAGTTTCCGGCGCTACAGTAATCATAAATGTGTATTAGATAATGAAGAGTTATGTTTAAAGATTGCAAAGAGAAGGTGATTAAAACAGGAAGTCATAATAAATTATGATCAAGAGCACAACATGAGAAGGGCAATGTAAGTTTTTTCTATTTGATTTATTCGATAAATCCAGATGTTGATTCATTTGAATTAGTGACAGATCAAACTCTGATACTAGATCAGAGAAGATCCGATCCGGATCCTAATAAAGGCGTACAACATGCTGAGAATACAATAACGCAAACAGCTTTTATATTATTTTTACTTTCAATTATCACTAACAATTTAACTGACACAAAAATAATTGCAATTTTAGTTTCAGTTATATTTTTTGTAATTATTCCAAATCAAACTAATCTGAAGGTAAAAATTGCTTACGCATAATTCTACGTGACCGTATGATCATATTCTTATTAGTTAATCAATCGGATAATATTTCAATACGACCGGTGAAAATATTTGATAATTTTTAAGCAAATTACTCACGAAAATATAGGAAGTGAAGTTTTGCTGAATTGTTAATTAATGAAATAAATTGTTAATTAATGAAATATTCGATATAGCTTAACTATATCGAATTAAACTGGTACAATTAAATTATTGCAATATTTTAACAATAATTGTTGTTGGGAAAGAAATATCATTCAAGCAAGTTTATTTTTTCTTTACCATATAAGTGACCATGAAGAATTATCTGATCTTGATCATTCTTATCAAAATACAATTTACTCCTAATATTTGTAAAACTAAGCATTAATACAGTATTTAGAAGTATTAATCACAAATGGAATGCTTTAATTGCAATCTTTAATTAGTCGCTACCTAATCCGGGAATTATCGATGATAAAATTAGCATATTTGCACAAATGATGATAAATATGAACTGATAAATATATGAGGAATGACATATCAGGTAAAGAAGTCATATTGTTCGTTGTTCTTTCACAAAATCAATTCCAGAACATAATTGACGATGCTGGTAGGAATGACGATTGTTACTGATAATATTACTAATAATATTCATGATGATAACATTGATAACAGTAAAATAACTGATAAACTGTTAATCATCCTTTTTCTTTCTCTTTTTTTTAAATTTTTTCTTGCTAAACGCTACTCCTTATAATAATTCATAACGAAATAATGAAAATATTTAACAAATTCATTGAGATATAATGATTTTTTTTAAAAAAGGAATTAAATTTTTTTTAAAAAAAAAGAGTTAAGTTAAATTATCGTTGTAGAATTTAGAAAATCACAGTGAAAAAAAAAATGGCAAGAATTTCTAATCAAAAAAGGTAAAATTAAAAAAAAATTAAAATTACAAAACTTTTTTGCTTTCATTTTAGCAATAATTTATCGATTATCCAAGCAAACTAACCATGCAATAATTAATTAATACTTTCATGAAAAGTTAATTTATCATTTGACACAAATTGACAAAATGATTGAAAATTCGAAGTTTTTAAAATTAATTTATAATATTTATTATCAATTCATTGTTCATTATAAATTATAAAAATTTCTCTATCATTTTTAACTTATTTCTACTCTATATTTTCCCATTTCTTTCTTTTCTCTCATTCATATTTTCCTTCCTCTATCATTCATTGAATATTTATCAGTTCATATTTTGTCAACATTAAAGCAAATCATCTATTAATTTGTGTTACTTTCCATCTGGGATCAATAGATAATTGAATTACTAAAGTCATACGGTAGAGTTATTGTTTATTCAGCAAATAATAGGTATTAAATCACCAAAATGACAAGTTGTTGGAAATTTTCGAAAAACTAATACTTTTACAAAAAAAAGAAAAAACGAGAGAAATTTTGAATGAGAGAAATAAGATTGAGGGAGAATTTTTGTTTTTAAATTCATTTTAATTTTTTTTTTGTATAATTTCTGCTTTTTTAAACACATTTTAATATCGTTTCATTCATTATAACAGCCTAAGGATTATTAATAAATTCACAAAAATATTTCATTCAAATAATCAAACATTAATTAAATCGTAAAGATTGTTCAACAAAATATCGGCCATATATATTTCATTTCCAATTATGAATTCGAAAAGGAATTGATGCAATCTTGCATGCAATGAATACAATTACATGTTTCAAAAAAAAAAAAGAAAAAAATTATTGTCCACTTGTCACTGGTCAATGAGTTAAGTACTTGTATGTCATCTGACCACTAAACATGTCTACTTGTCGCAGATATATTGGTAAAGTAGCATACACAATGTAAACATATAACAGATATAAATGTTTAACAACGAATTTTTATTTTCTTAGTAAGTTAACTTGTGCGCAACAAAGGCGGAAAATGTGTCACAATCATTTGCTAAAAATTATAGTAATTTTCATCTGTTAAATTTTAAATATGTCATTGCATGCTGTTCTTTATGTTCAATAAAATTTCACATAAATTCAATTCACTTGCCGATGGATAGCAAATACTGTCCTGCGGTTTGCATGATGCATGCATTAGTGTGCTCCATTTTATCTTGCAATCTACTTCTATCGAAAGAAATTGAAAGCAACACTGGTCTATGAGCATAGTAATTCATCGTGACCCGAGGAATTATTGAGAAAAACGATCAAAAATGGCACTACTTCTTTGAAACATAATGGGATTCGCCCTTATATTAAATGAATTAGGAATGAAAAAGAAAAAAAATTATAGTCGAAATCGATAACTGTCAGTGTTGATTATTATAGCTAACAGGAATGACATTGATTATGCAAATTAACAATGTTTACTTCATCAACCATAACAATGTGACACGTGACAAAAATTGAAATTTACGAAATTGGAAAATTTTCAACAAATTGTAAATTTAATATGCAGTTAGATATAGTGTTGTGATTTGTGTTGTTCACTCCTTGCCTTTCTAGTTTAGTCGCAAAGATTATTTCACTGTCAAATTGTATCTTAAAATCAAAATTCTAACTTCAATTCACTTTTGTAACATTTTAAAAATATTTTCTTCCATGGATTTCAAACTAATTTGTCATCTTTTGAAGTTTAATTTTCGATTTAAAATTTTGATTAATAAAATCTTTTATGGCTTACTATTTCGTAATAGTTCATGAACGGTATCTTTTCATCTAACATAAGTAATCTTTTTTAATACAAAAATGTATCAGATATTGGTGAAAATTAAGATTTAATTACTATTTCTTTACTATTTCTATTGATTTAGAAATGACCGTATCATTTGCTGTAAGGAAATAAGCCATTTAGCTTATTTAGGAATAACTTTGCTATTCTACATTGTTAAAAATTTACCCAAACATTTGCATAACACTGTTTTATTTAAACTATTAGTATTTTATTTAAGCTATTAGTATATCTAGAATGAAATTATAAAATTTATTCAGAGTTTATTCAGACTAACTTAAAAAATTGATCTTTTACCAATTCAAATAAACAATATATCAAATAATTCCAACCAGGTAAATAACTTAAAATTTAATCCACCAAAAAAAAAGAAACGAATTATCATTAGTCAATCCAAATTAGCTTATTCTTGATTACTTTTATTACAATTGTGTAATCATATAAATAGATGTGTATTTTAATTTTACGTTTAATTATCATAGTTAAAAAAAAAAAAGAAAACTTTCGATAACTTTAATTATAGTTATCGAAAGTTTTTTTCGTTTTTAAATTAAAATTTGAGGAACTGATAAGTGATATTTATCAATTTTGAAAAAGATTTAC